GGATGAAGATCACATTTTATTTACCAGCAAATCTCACTCCAAATCCTCCAGATTCCTCTTCTGATTTTGTGTTGCTAGAACGACCATATTAGTGTCACCTGAGCAAGCACCTTCATAAAAGGCGTGGTCCCTCGCCCAGTGACCCTGCGCTAGATGAACGATTCTCCGGGTCACCTTCCCGCGGTTTGGGCTTTGTGTCAGAGGAGTGCTCCAAGGAAGCCCCTCTCGGCCCCCGCCACTTTTAAGCGGTTTGGGTGTTATCTCCTTCGGTCTCTGCCCCCTGAGTCTCCAATTCATTGACTCATTTGGGCTAATTCAGAGGTTCCAGTATTCCCACCTCGCCCTAAGCAGCCCAACATGCTGGGAAGCCTCTAATGTGTCCTCCCCTCCCCTACACAAGTCCTGCTTTCCCATGGAGGCATGGACCCTCACTCCCTGTGAGCCCAGCCTTGAGGGCACACTGTCCAGCTGAATGGACCCCCCCTTCCTGAGATTACCATTCCCACACAGGCTCTCCAGAAGGGCCCAAGGCTGTCTGAGGCTGCTGTTTGGGTGCAGACCATGCACCCGGCACGCTGCTTAACCACCCTCTGTCACAGACATTGGTGGGAGAGCATTTTTCTTCTCACACCTCTCATTCAATTTGAAAAGGCTAGAAATAGCCCTCATCCAACTCTGGACGATGCATCCATCCCTCTGCCCAGCAGTGAAGTTATGATATAACAAGAACTGTGTTTATATTTGATCTTTGTCCCCAGTCTCTGGCACAGGACTTCTAAAGACTTGTAACTCCCCAAGTGTGGGGACAAGGGGAGCATCTTCTGTTTGAATATCTGGGTTAGTCCCAGGTTCCTGGCACTGAGGGCTGCTTCCAGACTGGTGCACCTGCCACATGTGGAGAGGGTGGTCACCCCCAACTCCATGGGAATAGCAGCTTCTGCTCTTGGAACCTTCCAAAATCTCCCTGTCCTATTTGTCTAGCTCTTCCTTGGTATCCCTTGAAAGCCATTTGAAGAAAACGTTTTAAAATAATTGATTGACTAGTTAAAGATACCTACCTCGCAAGCCTTTCTGAGCTTCATCAAGATCATCATATGGTATTTATCAGTAAGGAATGAGGGAAAGTCCATCCTTTGTAAGCAAAGGAGGGCACAGAGCCCCTGATTGGTCCTGTCAGGGAGGGAAGGGCTGCCATATTTGGAGAGCAACTGGCTGTCCCCTCCCCCTCCTGCTCCTACATAGCTGGGCAGGACTGGACAGTGTGCGTGAGACTGTGTGGCCAGCTCCAGAGGCACGTTCCCAGGGACAGTGCAAGGTATGTGGGGAGGCAGAGAACTTCAGGGTGGATCTCCTTGCTGTGGTTAAGAGCAAAGAGCAAGCAGGGACTTCTTCACTCCCATCTGCCGGGATGGGTCCCAAGCTGGGGAACGCTTTTGAGAACATCTGCCCATCTCTGTATGCATGTCGGTGCTTTGATGCTACCATGAAATGTACCTTTAGGGTTGGCTGCTTTTACTTTTAAGCCCCTGCCTATGAAGACTCACTTCTTTCTCAAGATGTCTCTTCTTTAATATTTTTTATTTGATTTGCCTGTAATTTATGTTATTAAGATTTCTCCTACTAAGCAGAATGAGCTGATGACATGGGGTGTGACCCCCTATTTGAGAAATTAATGAAAGTTTCATGCTCTGAGCTCTTTAGAGAAAACTGGTCTGAGCTCACTGGGGTGGGTGGAGTTGGGGATAGGGTGCTAGAAACTGGGGCTCAGGCTGTTGGGGACACATTTGCCTTCCCTGGGGGAGAGATAGGTGATATCTGCAAGTGAAGAAAGGTCAGCAGAGGCCTCTGCAGGTGTCCGGAGGTGGCTGGATGTGCACCTGGTTTGCATTTTACTTCCTTCCAACCTAAGAACCATTGTCACGCTGCAGTTGACCATCTTAACAGAGGTGTGCTGAGCACTTGGGGATCATTGCAGGGGCAGGCGGGGGGGGCATCAGGGGATATTGCAGGGCAGGCTGGCATGCATGAGGGGTCAGGCTAGCTTTCTACCCTCCAGCCCTAGCATGCAGGGCCTCGAGCCTTCATCCAGGAGACAGTATCAGCCTGCTCCAAGGTGGCAACTCTTCCTGTATCCCTGAGCCACAGGAAAGTCCAGGTGCTCAAGTGCCCGGAATGCACACAATAGCTATTGTACTGTCAGGAGCCAGACGTGACAGACTACTGGCTTGGAGGGCTTGGGGGGCTGTCCCCTGACATCAGCGGCATCCTAGCTCTGGGGCTCCCCCACACTCTGTCCTCCCTTCATCTCATTTCCTCCGGAATTCTGCACGGGCTCTGCTCTTCGCTCAGTTTAGCGCCGCCGGGGCTGCCCTTCATGTCCCATGAGACCAGCCCCGGCCCCAGCCCCTCCTGCAGCTCAGATCCCAGCCGGCCACCGCGATCGTACAGCCTTGCGCAAGTGACTCGCCCTCTCTGAATCCTAGTATAACTTTCATAAAATGGGATAATAATGTACCTGTTGCCTGTGAGGATTAAATGAGGCAATATCCAAGCTGCTGCACTGTAAGTGGGCAATAGCAAAGTTTTGCAAGGGAGGGAGGGGTCACATTGCCCCATCTGGGGTGAGCCTGGGAAGGAAACCGTGATGGAAGGAGCAGGGGCTCCTCTCCCCGAGACCCTGCTCCTGTCTGTCACTGCAGAAAAAGCCCTCTAGATCAGCCGCCAGTGACTGCTTTAGAATGAACGGCGGCAGATGTGCTTGAGATAGCAGCATCCTGGCACAGTAGAGAATCAAGGGGAAAGCTGAAATTACTGTTGCTGCCAGTCTTTATGTTCAACTCTTCTACTATAACTTCTACCAGCGGATCCCTTGACTTGAAAGACTTGGGTACCAAAGAAACCCGCCCGTACATAAAATAAATGAGTAAGGATATATTAAATGCATGCTTGTTTATTTTCCCATGCATGGTCAAAGGCTTTGTAATTGCCAGTTGCAGCTTCTTATCTGTCTTAGGAAACCAGGGTCAGCGCCCTCATAGATATACTACCAGCCAAAAGCAAAGTATTTGATACCTACTTAACCTGTGCAGCCCAAGCCTGGAAAAGCAATTAAGCTTCAAGAAAAATGTAATTGGAACGAGGATGGGCTGCTTGCTTAAAATCTCTCCCACACAGGAGGAGATCGGGGTGGGGTGTCAGGGGACAATCGAACCCCACTAGGGGAGCTAACTGCCAGGTCTTCTCTGTTGCAGATTCTGACATCATGTGGAAGCATCTGGGAGGCTGGGGGCTGGTCATCTTCTGCCTGCTGTCCTTCAGCCAGCTCCCTCCCGTCAAGGCGAGGGGCATCAAACACAGGATCAAGTGGGGCCGCAAGGCCTTGCCCAGCACCGTCCGGGTCACTGAGGCCCACGTGTCCGAGGTCAGGCCCGGCGCCTTCATCAGGCAGGGGCGCAAGCTGGATGTCGACTTAGGAGCAGAAGGTAACAAGTACTACGAGGCCAACTACTGGCAGTTCCCCGACGGCATCCACTACAACAGCTGCTCCAAGGAGGCCAACGTGACCAAAGAGAAGTTTGTCAGCGGCTGCATCAACGCCACCCGGGCGGCCAACCAGGAGGAGCTGACCCGCGAGAAGCAAGACAACAAGCTCTACCAGCGGGTGCTGTGGCGGCTGGTGAGGGAACTCTGCTCCGTCAAGCACTGTGATTTCTGGCAAGAAAAGGGAGCGGGACCCCAGGTCACCGCAGGCCAGCCCGTGATGCTCTGCTCGCTGGTGCTCACTTGGTTCATGGTGCAGTGAGCATGCGAGCCAGCTGGCAGCCGCAGAGGTGGGCACGCAACCCGCGGGGCAGGTACCCCCTCTGTCCCCAGCCCCAACCCACCAGTACTGAAGGTACCAGAGTGATTCTTCAGCGCTGAAAATAGCACCCCCGAGTGTGCGTCCAGGTATCTGTTTGCATTTGATACATGTGCTAGCCCTGGGTGGCCTGCTCTTACCGCTTTCTCTCCCGGCTCCCGGTGGAGTGTCTAGCACAGCATATGTGCAATGAATGTTTGCTGAACAGATCAAAGAAGGCTCCAGGGACCGTGCCAAGCCCTTCATATCACCTCCCACCACTCCCGAGGTAGGTGCAGTGTCCACTGGATGGGCAGGAAACTCAGCACCCAGCTGAGGACGCTGGGAAGGCAGAGCCCAGCTGCTCTTGCCAACCCAGAGCCACCATGAGATCCCTTTTGGCTTGCGAGGCCCAAACCCAAACACATATTAGTAATGAAACAGTGGGAAACTCCATTTTTGGAAACATAAAGACCTGAGCCACTGGTCATACATTTTGATACCTGTCCCATGGAGGTTTCCTCTAATTACCCTAATTAAACCAGAATATAGCAAGACAAAGGCCCCAGAATTTATTGTAAAGAAGTATTGCCAAGCTGACTGCCAAAACAGACTAGCCCCACAACCGGTTGCTCTTCCCAGCTCAGAAATAGTCCAGGTAATTAAGAAAATATTTTTACATGGCACATTTACTTTCCTGCTGTTCCCTTCGCACAGACTTCTCGGTCCCTATGTCCAGGAATCTAAGCATCTTTGCATGTACACACCATGCTTTCTCGGCGTCTGGGGCTGCCACTTCGGTGAGGGCTCTCATTTCTGTGTACCCTTGGTCAGCACAAAAAATAACTTCTCACCACAAAGGTGATAAAGGAGCCATGCCTTTAAGAGATGCCATCAGCAAGAGTAGAAACAACCTGTGATATCTACTTAGTAATAATGAATGCATCTATTATGAAATGTGAACACAATTTTAACAAAAGTCATCAAGCTAATGATCCCGGGTGCTCCTACCGGCCCCTAGGGTCTCCTTGGAGGCCTTCAGGAGCTGTTGAAACTTGCTTGGCGATAACAGCTGCTGTCTTTTATCAACTGGAGTCTGGAATGGGAACAATGTCCAGGGTCAGGCAACTTATGCTCAGTATTTTAAAACATGAGTGTTGACAATGAGACCTCTTGTCCTGAGCCCCACTGCTATCAGAATTCTTCTCAAGGATACATCTGGAGGGTTTCAACAAGGAAAGTGGGTGGGGGGACTTGGAGGCAGGGAGTCCAGGGAGCAGCCTTGGATGGGAGAAAGGGAGATACATGCCAGCCCCCCAGCAGCACACAAGAAACACCTGAACTCACCGTCCACTTCTACCTGTTGAAGTCTGGATCAGAGAATGAGATACAAGTTTGGAAGACATAGAAGTTAGTTCTTGCATGTTTTTTTTTTTTAAATAATAAAGTAGCAATAAAGGCAGATCACGTGCTTCCAGACTGATGTTGAAAATCCAAGTCCTAACTCTCCTGACTTTAATTACAAGGTCACGTTCAGCCACGTACGCAAAATGACTTCAGATGTGGAAGAGCTTAAGCTATAATATAGAACATTTTCTCTAATTGCTGCCTTTTCTCACTTTGTTAATTAAATCTAGGTAGAAGCAGGCTATCATGTGAATTTGTACATAGTCATGTAAAATGCAAAATGCTTTTATTTGGATCATATGTGTTTATACATCCTTGGCATACTTACGAAGAATGAGGTCAGGTAAAGGCTTTGTGAGCTGGTATTTCATTTGGCAAAGTGCTGTCAAAAACTAGGTGTTCAGGACATTGCGAGGGTCTTCTAAATTGTTCTTGGTGTAATCATTTTAAATGTGAATCATTTCACCATCACTCTGTCCCTTCTGAATGTTGACTTTTTAAAATGTTTGCATTAGAAGCAATATTGAAATCACAACAGAATCCAAAATCCAAACTTTGCCCACATTCCCAGCAACTAATTAAGTCTTTGTTTTCATTTGGCATCTAAGTGCCCAGTCCTTACATTTGCATATGCAAATATACATATTTGCAGTAATCATAGAGTGAGCTTTTATATTCTCAATTTTCACTTGACCTTATCCTCGACTTGCCACCTTCCAGCTTTCACTGTGTTCAGATAAAGCAGCGAGTTTTCTGTTGATGACTACTTTTTAAGATACTGTCATTATGCAGAATACATTTACTCCACCATAATTTTTCTGTGTATGTGTACACTGCATCATGAACTCTCTCCTGCTCAAAAACTAGCTATTTAGCTTACTCATCCTTTTAGATTGCTGCCTAATATTCCATAGCAGGAGTTGACATCAGCATTTAATTAATCAGTTGAATCATTTTCTTGTGGATGGACCTTCAGATTGTTTCCAGTTTTCCACAACTGCAAACAATAAATATCCTTGTACTTACAAACTTGCCATCTCTTGCTTTTATTTCTGTGGAAAAAATGTACATGTCTGGCACAAAGTCTGAGTGTAACTAAAATCTTTCTAGATCTGATTAGTTTATGTTCCCACAGAATCCGGAGCAGTGTCCCCTCCCACTTGCAGGGTATGACACCAACATGGAAGAGTTCCTACCTCATCTAAGTTTAGAAACCTTCTCTCCTTTGCAAAAGACACAGTTAAAGCATAATGGTCACACATTCCTTGCAAAATGGAAGCAAATTAGTACTTGCCTTTGACACCTCTCTAAACCCAGGCCAGGACATCCAGACCTGCCCCAGATAAACAGATGCAGCTGTTTCCCTTGGCAAATAGGATCCTGGTCCCATGGCTCTGGGGGGAGTGAGGTGTTTCCCTTCTGAGTCAGAGTGGAGATTCCACCCCTAGAACACTGGTGAGCTGAGGCCCCCTCAAGCAGTGGGTTCCAGACCCTCAGACAGAGGGCGGGGACTGTTACTCTGATCTCCTGTGAAATAAACCCCATGCACTGACCTGCCCGCTTCTACACGGACCTTTGGGTGGCTGCACCCAGCCCAGAGCTGACCACCCAAAAGAGCTCATCCTCTAGTACCTAGGTGTCAGTGCCCCCAAAGAAGCTTCAGTCTACTCTTCTGAATTCCCACCCATCCACCCCCATCCCCCTCTGCCCCCCCTGCAGTGGGGATTCCCAGACCATATTATAATGCAAAGCCTTGGGGGGAAACACTGCCTTCTTAAACAATACAGATTGTTTTAACTCTGATAAGTTTGGCCTTAAATTGTGGAAGAAAATTGGCAGGAGGCCAGAGAGGAACTAGAGGAAGCTGGAGGAAGCCATTCAAGGCCTGGCGATCAAACACAGCTGGTCTCTGGGATGGAGGGAGGTTGGGGCGTGGGGGCGGATTTCACGGAGTGGGGAGGGAAGATTAGGGCTCAGGCTTAACACCCAGCAGTAGTGTGTTGTGCCCTAGGGGGCTTCGGTTTCAAGAACCTTCATCAGCACCAAGGAACTAGATTTTCCAGGGCTGAGAAGAGGGAAGGACCCAGGGAAGACTCCCGGCTAGGTAAGACTCTATCAGTTCTGTTGTGCTTTTTGAATTTCCTGATCCGTAACTGAGGTTTCTAATCTTTTTAATGAGCTGTTCTGATGCCTGGCTACCTAACAGTCAAGAACAAACTGAAGGCTCTTGGGCATCTCTTCAATGTCATTTATCCCTCTCTGTCTCTCAGTCAAACCCCATCATCACCTCTGCTCTCCCAAAGGAAAAAAGCACAGAGGAGCAGAGGCAAAGGGCAGATGGTTCTTTTCAGCTTTCTCTCATGGGGCATAATCCGAAGTGTGACTGGCCCCAACCCAAAGAATGGTGCTTTGCCTTCCAGAGAAAGAATTCACAAGAAAGTGCTGGTTGTAATTGAAGCAATCAAGGCTTTATTAAAGAGACTCATGCATGAGGGAACCAGCGTGGGAAAGGAGAATTAAGTTTGGTTCCTCAAAGGAAGGCTAAATTGTATGTTTTACATGCTTTGTTCATTCTAGAGATAGTTTATAGCCTGCTCAAATCAGAGTCTACGTCATTTGAAGTCAGGGTGAGGGAGGAGAGGCAGTAGGTGGATTGAAAAGTGCCCCTTGGGCCCTCCCTGGTGGCTCAGCGGGTTAAAGCACAGCACTAAGAAGCTTAAGCCACTTCCGCATGAGTTCGATTCCCGCCTGCCCTGGAGGTGACCACATGGCACAGCAGACCTCTCCTGAACCCCGCTCCCCCTGCTGCTCCCCTCAGCAGTGTACTTCACCAATCAAAAGTGCCCCTCTTCCCATGTGCAGAGACAGCTGGGTGTGGCCACGAGAGCCAGAAAGATGGCGCCTGGAGCTACTGCTAGAGCTCAGGGTGTTAGCAGTAACTCTCACTGACTGTGTTACATGCCTGACCATCCCCAGGCTCTGCCAAAGCTCCAGTGAATGAGTTGCCACCACTCCCTGCTCCCTGCTGCCTTGTGGTGCTGGCAGCAGAAGGGGAGGGGACAAAGGCTGAGCAGTGTAGGTTATTGTACTACCGTGGGCAAGCCAGAAAGACTTCAGAGATGAAGTTACCCAAGTGGGGGAGACAGGAGAGAGGTAATATTATTGCAAAAAAAAAATCAAGAAGCTGCGAGCAGATCAGTATGGGGGGACCTGGGGTCACGTGAGGACAGTAATGAGCGGCTGGAGGGGTAAGGTAAGGCTGCAAAGGTCCTTCCTTCTGCGGGTCCTGTTTCCTATTGGTCAGCACTTCTCAAAGTTTTCACAGGGATTCTGTAAAGTGTGGATCCTGCGTTAGCAGGTTCAGGGCAGGCCCACAATTCTGCAGTCTTAACAAGCTCCCAGTGATGCCTACACTGCTGACCTGTGACCCGCACGGTGAGGATTGTTGATGGGTGTTAGGAAGGTGAAGCCACACAAAACGTGCATTTAGAAAGACAGCCCTAGGGCCTCCCTGGTGGCGCAAGGGGTTAAGTCTCAGCGCCATGAACCTATCAGCAGCCACTGGGACACAAGTTCAAACCCTAGCCAGGGAGCTGACCCACATGGTGCAGCAGGCCTCTCCTGTCTCACCCACTGCTCCCCCCTGCAGTGTATTTCAACAGATCCACCTATTCTGCTCCCCACTCTGTCTCTAGTGAACCCTCTTCCTCCTCCCCCCAACACCTCTGGCCTGTACCCCATTTCTTATATGCATAAATAAGTATTAAAAAAAAAAGCACTAGTTCCTGGGTAGAGAATGGCAGCAGGCAGTCAGAGCATCGGGGACAAGTGTTTAAAAAATGCATTTCCATGAAAGGGGATGGAGCATCTCAGGGCAGGAAATGGGTGCTATTTTCCCTGCCCAATTACATGCTTGTAACTTGGGTTACAACTCCCACCACACCATGAACCCCACCCCATCATGAACCGGACTTCCTGAGTGCAGGGCAGCTGGGAAGGAGAAAAGAAAGGAGAGGATATATATTGGATGTAGAACAAAGGAGGAAAGACAGATGTGTGGAGAAGAGACTCATGGGTAGAAGCCACCAGGGGAGAGCTGTCCTAAGATTCTAGCCAAGTTGCCTCTTTGTGACATAATGATCATTTACATTTATAGCTCCCATTGTCTCCTTCTAGTCCTCTGTGCAGCGCTGTCCCAACCTTGCCAGAAGTCCACAGGAATTGGAGCCTCTGGATGGAGTCTCTCTACCTGCCTGTCTCCTGAGTCCCAGTGCCCCGAATCTTTCCTTCCACGAAACGCCCATTCTTTTCTCTAGGAAGCAGTAGAATGTACACTGGTGTTCAAACCCACTTTCCAGTGCTGGCCTTCCCCAATGACAGGGTCTCAGTCAAATCAGACTGCCTTTAGCTCGGCTTCGGGCTTTGAGGGCCGCTTGCTCCCCAAGACTGGCATCATAGCATCTTCATGGGTTTTGGAGTCACAGGAGGAAGCAATGATCCAGCACCAGCCAGCAGGGGGCAGTGCAGACACAGATGCGCTAGGTTAGTCTTCCCTTGTGCCAATCTCTGATCTAGGTAGATGGTTTTATGTCACACTCCAGTTCCTCTGTCCAACTGGAATCTTCTCTTGCCCTTTATTTCTATTAAATTAGAAAGCCCTAACAATCCTGGATTGTTTGGAAAGCCTGCAAGTTCTTTCATATAGTTCTGGTCTTTGGATCACATCTAAATATTTGAAATTTTGTTGAACTTTCTTTTCAATATTATTAGATCCAAATCAGCAAGATCTCGTCACATGCAAAAGCAGGAACACTGATTATTTTAAACTGAGAGATGAAGACAAGTGGGTTGCTTTATTTCAGATTTACTGAGGTACAAATGACATAAAGTTGCAAGATCATTAAAATGTACATCAGAGTGATTTGCTATACATGCCCATTAAGCAAGGCTACTCTATCTGGTTAGTCAAAACAGCCATCACTTCGCTTATTTTATCTTTTTGCCATTGTTGAGAACATTTAAGTCCTTCTCTTAGCAAATTTCAATTGTGCAATATTGATCTCAACTGTGGCCACCGTATTTTACATTAGCGCCTGAGACCTCACTCGTCTCTTCACTGAGTTCATACCCTCTTAACAGCCTCTCCTTCCTCCTTCGGGCCCCCAACCTCAGAAACCAGTGGCTTTCTAATCCTGTCTGTGTCTTGAGTTCTAGAAAGTACTTCTGTATATGGGAGCATTTGAATGCACCTTTTAAATATATGTATTTTTTAAAGATTTGTTTATATATGCATACAGAACTGGGTTACAGGCCAGAGATGCAAAGGTGGTGAGAAGATTCACCAGAGACAGAATGGGGAGCAGAACAGGCAGGTCAGTGAAGTACACTGCTGAGGGGAGCAGCAGGTGACACAGGAGAGGTCTGCTGCAGCATGTGGGTCACCTCCTGGGAAGGGATCGAACTCCCACTGAGGCGGCTACGGCCACCTTGCCGTGCTACATCCCAATCCATTGTGCCACCTGGGAGGGCCCAAAGGTCATACTTCTAAACTCCAAATCATGATGGCTCCTTTTAGTAAATTTTAGTATTCTTACAATTCTCATCAAGATTGGAAGGTCATTTTCTGCAGCTGGAATATTCCACCGCAGATCACAGCCCTCGTGTAAGAGCAGGGAGGTCTGGCTCTGTGTCATCACACTTGCCCACAGAGCAAGACCACATGGGGACCGCATGTCTGGTTGGGTGCTCTCCCCACCCCTGATCTAGGGTCTGCCACCTAACCTGCTCTAGATGGCAGCTCACATGGCCAGCCCACTCCCCACCCAGTCCTCTGATTTCCCTCCGTTTCAATTTCCCACCTCCTCTCAGGGAAGAGCCCACCCAGGATGCCTCCTCTCATTTGGGCACTGCCAGTGGCGTGGACCCAGTGCCAGGCCCGGTGAGTGGCCCCAGCCCCATGCTGAGCAGGGCTTGATACGGCTCACGAGCATCTTCCACAGACATTGCGTAAACAGGTAGGGCTGCGGCTGCCTGGAGCCCAGGAAGAGCGGCACACCCAGGTAGGCACCGGTCTTGGTGCCCTGTGCCCATCAGAAGGGCTGAGTCAAAAAATCCTGCAGATTTTAACAACCAGCCTCCAGAAACAAGCTTCATCCCAGCCCTAGGAAATGACTTGGGAGAAAAGGCAGCAGGTTCACCAGACAATCAGGACTGCTCAGAGCAGTTATTTTAACCGCAAACAGGAAACAACCTAGTCCTTACGGCACAGTCCGCACATAACTCACAGCTCAGACACACAGAGGAACGAGGCAGACAAGAAAGGGGCCCACAGCTGCCACGAGCGACACCTCGGGTGAACGATGACTCAGGTTGGGCAAAAGCCAGACACAATTGCTGTAGCAGCAGAACAGTATTCCTCACAAAGGCAGAATCTCAGGATGGAAATGAGGTCTTTGTCAGTGCAATGGATTATGCTGAGCCTAACTCCAGTGACTGGTGCCCTTACTAGAAAAGAAGACACACTAGAAGAGGTTAGGGCATGGAGCTGCAAGCCCGAGTCACCAGAAGCTGGGAAGAGGCCAGGCACGCCCTTCCCTAGTCGGCAGAGGGCTCGGGCTTGATGTCGGCCTGATTTTCTGCCATCCCCACTCTGGGACTGTTAGCAAATACATTTGTGTTGTAACCACCCAGCTTATGGAGCTCTAGGAAACGAAGATACTATGGTAAAATGAAATTCAAGTGTGGACGCAGCCAATCTGCAGCAACGGGATACTTGTAAGTCTGAGGGAAGGGTAGTAACTGCTTGCAGAGACCCCCTTCAGGGGTGGAGGGCTCAACTGTCTAGTTCAAAAAAAGGCGCTCTTCTGCCACCTCTTAGCTGTGCTCTACACAGACATCAAGTATCCCCACTTTGAGGAGAGGGGGACACGAGGCCAGCCTGCTCCAGCTCACCCATGCTGCTAGGACTTGCAGAGGAAACTGGGGTTCAGCGCCATCTTTCTCTGGTCCACGGGAGGACCCCAGGAAAACATGGTTGGGGGTTGCCTTTGCAAGACTTCTAGAGGGCTCCCATTCACATCTTGAGCATTCACCTCTTCCCCAGTACACACACACCCCTTGCCCGGGATATCTGGATGGTCCACTCTCTGAACACATCCCACAGCTCACCTCAGAGCATAAACCTCCCAGGTCCTTGTCTGCCCAGCCCTGTCCCCAACTTCGAGCTTTGCTTCCTCCTCTGGGTGGTGGCCAATTCACTTGAGAAACCTTTCTTGGTGTGTAAGATTAACAAATTCCCACTTGGTTCTTTACAAGTTTTATATTAAATGCATATGGAAAAAGTGGTTTCTAGAACCCAGCTTCAGCCCCTTTGGACATCTGGGAGTTTAGCTTCTGGGACTGGGGCCTGGGGCTCTCTGAGCTTGTGGGGCAGTCCCAGGCAGTCCTTGTTCTCATGACCCCCTGCCCCAGCCCTTACAGTGAGCTCCTGGGCCAGCTGTAACTCTGAAACTTCTCCCCAGGGGCCTGATTTTCCTCTGGCTCTTTGTTCAGTAGATTCCCCTTCCTGCAGGCTCCCATTTTTCCCATCTGCAGGAGGAGAATACAAAGCCCAGCCAAGGCCACCCTGACTTCTTAGAGGCTTCCACATACCACCTTTACCCTTTCCTACCCAATTCACCAGTGCTTCATTTTTGTTGACGTTTATTTATTTATGCATGGAACTGGGGAACAGGCCCGAGGTACAGGTAAGAGGATTCACCAGACAGAGAGGGGAGCAGAACAGGCAGACTTCTGAAAGGAGCAGCAGTCTTCTTGAGGTACTGCCGTCAAGGCTGCAAGCCCTTAGTCCCCGACGATGTCACACAGGAGTGAACAGTTCCATGATGCTCTGGGCAGGCAGCAGAGAGCAGGACCACTGATGCTTCATAGGATGAGCTCATTCTCCATTCTCTGCCCCCTCAGATCCACAAATAGCCACAGAATCTAAAAGAAAGGACAAGCGAAACCAGGAGTCTGGAGTTCCCATCTGCATAAATGTATCACCATGGTATGGGTTTCCAGTCCTTGACATTAACTCACCTTGTGGAGAAATATCAACAAACCCCAGCCCAAGTCATCCTGAGGGCCACCGATGGTGGCCTTCAAACTTCCTTCAAGTAGCCAGGTCTAAGGCTGAGCTGCCAAGGCAAGGAAACATACAAGCAATTAACAAGCAGTTGCCATCTTCATCCCAAGCTGACATCACCGAGTCCTGCTCAAAAGGCCCAAGCCAACTATGGTGGTGGCACACGGGTGATTTGGTGATGGGAAACCCGCAGGGATTACAATCGAGATGGGGAAAAAAAATGTGCAAAATGATGTAAAAATAAACTTTTGTAATAATTAAAAATAAATAAATAAATAAAGCCACTATCAGATGAAAAAAAAAAAAAGGCCCAAGCCCCACATTTATGCAGAACACATCAGCTGTCCCCAAATCAGAAGGGTGTAAGGAAAAACCTATCTTGTTTTAATAGTAAATGACTTTCTTTCACTCAACCCACACGGTTACTCTGGAACCCACAGGATAGCTCAGTACTGCCACTGAGGAAGGACCTTTTGACTATCGGGTGGGTCACCATCCCCAGCAGGTCTCCAGCTGCCATTAGACACCTGGCCCTCCTGTCACAAGGCCTCGGCAGTCATCAGGCCATTCTACAAAGACCCATTCAATACGGCCCCGCCAGGAAAGGCAAGTGGCAGATGAACTTCCAGTACGATGTGTTAGGAGCCCAGATCTTCCAAGATCAAGACTGCCAGGCCCATGTGAAGAGTAAATGAGAAAAACCACCAGTCCTTGGGACATCAGGCAAGTGAGTCCCAACTCAAGCCACAGGCCTCTACACCCAGGGATGGATGACCGAAGTGGGGAGTGGGAGCAAGGATCATCTCTTTTCAGTATGGTCACCAGTGCCCACTAAATTCTCCAGCACGGACATGCTCCAAGACCAGAACTTGGACCAGGCTCAGACAGGACAAGGCTGATGCAAAAGTGTGTGAAAGCTTCAGGGTTTGGAAGGAACCAGGTGGGCCTCCGAACATGGGGAAAGCTGCTTTCAGCAGCTCCTCTCCCTGCACTACCAAGGACCAGGGTGCGGGCAGCCCACGGTCACTCTCAAATGCAGGTGCAGCCTCGGGCACACACGAGCCAAGCAGCCTGGGAAGGAGCCCAGGCTGGGATTTAGAGCCCCTGAGACAAGTCAGTGGCCAGACTTGCAACCTGACTGCAGCGGCTCCTCTGATCTTCAGAGACTGGCCACCACTGCCTGCTAAAGGCTGACAGAAGATGAAGAGCAGCAGCGTTCGAGGATGCTGGCTTCTGCCTGTGCGCACATTTACTACGTGTAGCAGGAGCCCCACTCGGGCTCTGGCCCCTGGGGACAAATCCAGGTTCATCCTGAAAGGCAGCCCTCTGCCCACCCCAGCACACTGCTGCTTCCCTCGCGACAGCACAGCAGCTTTGGTCAGGGGGCTCTCAGACAACTGCACCTGTGGCCTGGAGTAGAAATGCTGGGAGGCACTCACACCTCATCATTTCATCAGCTCTGGCCTCACGGCCTGCACAAGCGTGAGCTCTAGGGACGCAGGCAGGACACTTACCTGGGACTTCGAAATCCAGGCTGTCCCTGAAGACTGCTCTTACACACGTGGACTAGCAGCCTTGAGATACTGCTGCAGGGCCAGGGAGCCAGCATGTGATCGGCCCACTTGTTACCACTTGAGTCCATGACGCCATCATCACCAGAAACCACCTGGGAATGTAGGCACTGAGGTGAAGGCTCCAACTATTTGCTTCTCTCCATCTACCTGAAACTCTGGTCACTGGCAGTTACCCAGGCTGTCCCAGGGGCTCTCAGACAACTGCCTGTGGCCTGAAGCAGAAATGCTGGGCACTGGGAGGCACTCTCGTGGAGGAGATGGCTCTTCTGAACATAGGGGAAACCCCACAACTTCTCCTTTGCCTGCATCAACCAGTGACCAGGACACCAGTGACCCACTTCAGTGGGACACCTGAAATTGGAGACCTGTGTCTGAAGATCAGACGTGGTCCTACAACCAACCACACATTTCAGGAGGGAGGAAACACTCTCACTCTCCTTTTGTTAGTCTCACAGAAGCCAGCACTGAGGTAGGTAGAGTACTAAGGGGGCCAGGATGCACCCAAAATACAGTAGAAAGGAGGTGTGGGAAAGCGCCAGGGTTTGGAAGGGACAGGGCAGACCCTCCAAACACGGGAAATGCTTCCAGACATTGCTCTTCCTGCACTATCAATGACCAGGGCACAGGCAGCCCACGATCACTTTCGAATGCAGGTGCAAGGGCAGAAAGGGTGAGCTGGATACAAAGGCCCATGTTGCCAGCCCACTTACAGACCCAGCAGGGGAGAGCCGCCCACCCAAATCCAGGACCCAAAGGCCGCCATCACTTCCCACAAAGAAACCCGGCCCCATCAGCAGCCCACAGGAAGACCAGCTTCTGCTAAAGATGCCTCCCGTGTTCTTTCAACCCACAGGAACCACCTGAGAGCCTACCCCAGGCCAGGCGCCTGGGCTCAGAAACAAGCACCACACACCAGGCCCGTCCTCCCAGGCTCTTCCAGCCCCAGCCTGAGGCAAAGGGCAAGGAAGCACGGTGGGGTGCCCCGGATAAAATGGGCTGGGTCAGCGCCTCCACTCAGGCCCAGGGCCCCCACTGGCCCCTCTGCTGCTTTAGGCCTCTGCACAAGGCCTTGCCAGGCCTGTGGTTCTCAGAACCCACTGCGCTCCAGGACCCCTGCTTGCAGATGTGCTGGGCAGGTAAACAACTAGCCCCACGTTCTCGGGGCTCAGGGGCAGCGGCACTTACCCACAGCGCGGCCTCGGCCCCTGACACCACGGGGGCAGCGGGCAGCACAGCCCCATAAGGGTCAGTCCGCAGGAGCTAAGGGGGCGCTGGCCGATGCTGGACTTTGCAGGAGCCAAGGGGGCGCGGGCCATGCTGAGCGTTGCAGGAGCCACAGGGGCGCTGGCCCGCGCTGGGCCCGCAGCGCCATCCAGACGCTTTTCCAGTCTCCAAGTGGGGGCAGAGCCGTGGAGCCTGGCTAGGAAAAAGGACGGGCAAGGGGGCGCACGCGTCACGGGACCCGATTCTCGCCACTGTGGGGCAAGACGCGCTGGGACCGGGGGTCGGACGCCGCACCGGCCATACAGCTGGCGGGCTCCGTCCCACGGCCACGCCAACCCCCGACCCACACCCGGACCCACTGCCTCGGGCCTCCGTTTCTCCTTAAGAGAGGAATAGGCGCAGATCACGCGCCTAGAGCGCCCCACCGTCTACTCACCCGAGACTCGAGGCCGGCAGCGGGAGATCGGGACCGCGTCACGTGGCGCTGGACAGCAGACACGCGGCCCGCCGAACGCCCCACGCGGGCGGAAGTGCCGCTGAGCGCCGGCGGTGGCCTAGAGCGTCGTCCCGCGGGCGGAGCCCTCCCGCGCTCTCCTGCCGCGCCCCCTGGTGGACCGGAGCGCAAATACTGGCTCCAGGGGGCGGGGAAACTTCTCAAAGCCTTCTGCAAAGTTGGAAGTAACACTCTCTCACTTGCTTTGCTTTCAGCCTGTTCTTTTATCACTGATTTACCTTTAATCCTCTTCTAATTTGAGGTATCAACAGCACAGAATTAGATTTTAGAAGGGGGGAATTTATGAATTCTGTGTCTTAAAATAGTCCCACCTTCTGCCCCAAGGGGGAGAGTGGAGAGGAAAACTCTGTCTCTCATGTGGGCTTAGTAAGAGAGCCAGGAACATGCAGGAGCTTGACATATGTCCCCTAGTCCCCTGGGATTGGAGCACAGATGACAGGCGACCAAACTACTCCTAAGGTAAGGGATCACTGTCCCTTTCAGCGGGTCTAGAATCTGGAACTTGCTGTTCACAAGTTCATACCCAAAGGTGAACATGTTGGAGTGAGGGGATCCCTGAAGAGGAGACACCCCACTTTGGCCCTACTCTTTTTTTTTAAGATTTATTTATTTATGTATACAGAACTGGGGTACAGGCCAGAGGTGCAGGAGTGGTGAGAGCATTCACCAGAGACAGAGTGGGGAGTAGGAAAGGCCTACTGATGAAGCACACTGCTGAGGGGAACAGCGGGCAGGTCAGGAGAGGTCTGCTGTGCCATGTGGGTCACCTCCGGGTGGGGATGGAACTCATGCTGAAGTGGCTTTAGCTTCTCAGTGTTGTGCTTTAACCTGCTGTGCCACCAGGGAGGGCCCTAGTCTCTCTGTTTTATCTTGGAGGTACCAGGAGGAGATGGGCGAACAGAAACCCCCTGGTGAAGAGAAACACAGAGGAATAAGACAGTAGCTTGTGTGCCCTTCCAGCAGACAGCAGCCTACCTGTGCCTGGCCCCGGCAGGGGGGAAGACAGAAGCCTTCCCGGAGAAATGGTCATCGAATACATGATGGCTGGATTAGGCTGGACATTTAAAATAATGCACTCAAAATTGTATTTCTCATTTGTAGTCCCTAAGAGGAAGCAGAAAAGCAAACAGGCCTTTCTGACGCTTTTTTTTTTTTAAAGATTTATTTATTTATGCATACAGAACTGGGGTGCAGGTCAGAGGTGCAGGGGCGGCGAGAGGCTTCACCAGAGACAGAGTGGGGAGCAGAACAGGCAGATCGATGAAGTACACTGCTGAGAGGAGCAGCAGGTGGGTCAGGAGAGGTCTGCCGCGCCACGTGGTCACCTCCGGGGCATGCGGGAATCGAACTCATGCGGAAGTGGCTTTAGCTTCTCAGTGCTGTGCTTTAACCCGCTGCGCCACCAGGGAGGGCCTTTTCTGACACTTTTCTAGGGAAAAGACGCTTCCTCTTAGAAAGTCACAGACAGGGCACATTAATCAAGGGTTGGGCAGTAGCTGGGTGGGGGGGGGGGGTGGAGCCCACATCACACCATCCTGGAGTTTGTGACCTCACAGAGGCTGAAAAAATTCAAGTAGCCTGGACCCCCTTCTCTTCAGAGCTGGAGTCATGGTCAGCTGGGCAGGTTATTTCCAGGAGATGGTACCCAGAGTCTAGGAAGGAAGCAGCCACTGTCCCCCGAGCCTGCAGGAGCCCCCAGTCCAGCCCTGCATGCAGAATGTCCTCCACACTGATGGTCGTGCTGTGCCTGTTCGTCTTCTTCCTCTGCTTGTTTTTGTTGCTCTGCTACTGCCTCTGTAGAAAGAAATAATGTCAGGCCCCTGCTGACTGGACCTGAGGCCTGATGAAGGCCTCCTTCGAGCCAGTCTCACCAGTTCCTCTGGGCAGGACTGCTTCTGTCTTAGCTGCCTCGTGGCCTGAATGTTGGCCTGTTTGTGGGTGTCCAGCAGCCCCCTGGCCCTCACTGGATGCTCAGGCCCACTGAGATGATATCAAGGACCTCTCTACTGGGCCCCTAGCTGGATCCTCTGACCCTTACAATCTTCGCAGCATGAGTTTGGCTTCTGGTTCAATTTTGTCCTGGACTGAAGACAAGTTCTTGAAGGGGGATCAAATGTGGGACTCAGTGGGGGTGTCGGCAGCTCAGGCTTTGCCATGGGGACAGTCGTGTGAAGAGGTGTCCTTCTCTGTTCAGAGACGGCAGGGCTGGGCCTTGTGACTGGACTCCTAACTACAGACTGGTAGTGTGTGCCAGTTAACTGGACTTCCCTGCTCTGCGGGTGGGCGACCTGTGAAGACAGCCTTCCTGAGGAATGATCTGGACGGGGATTTGTTAACGTGGGCTCCCCTGAACAACTTTGGACCTTTCTGCTAACTAAACAACAGATATTTCTAGCTAATTAAACTTTCCTGGCTTGGGAAATGTTAATTTTCTCACTGAATACTTGAACATTCTGGTACAGCTGTATTTGACCTTGGCCCCTTCTCAGTAGGCTAATTAACCACTTCTGTTCTTCACTTCCCAGACCTTTCCTGGCCAAGGGCATCAGCCATCTCTGGCTATTTTTCTGCATTTCCAGGATAAAATTAGAAAAGTATGTCTATACTTTAACCATTTTGTATGATACTAGTTGATACTAGTTGATGATTTTAGATGTATATTCTATTTTTAATTTTTTTAAAAATTTTTTTATTTGTGCATACAAGATCTGGGGTGTCTGGCAGAGGTGTAGAGAGGTAAGAGGATTCATAGAGACAGAGTGGGGAGCAGAACAGACAGATATACTGAAATATGTGACTGAGAGGAGCAGCCAGGGAGACAGGAGAGTTCCGCCATGCCATGTGAGTCACCTCCCTGGCTGGGGATTGAACTCATGCTGCAGTGGCTGCAGATAGCTTCATAGTATTCAGACTTAACTCCTTGTATCACCAGGGAGGCACCCCAACTCTAAACTTTTAAGATTTTTTTTAAGTTATAACTAGATATTTTTATCAAATATTGGTGGTGATGCCACTGCTGATGACAATAACTAAAATTTATTCATCTCATTATAATACAAAATTGTAAAAAATGTGCTATTGGTATCATGTTTCAAGGTACTATTTTACCCACTTAAAACATTTTCTTTTAATTTTTTTTTTAAAGATTTATTTATTCATACAGAACTGGGGTACAGTTCTGTATGAATAAATAAGGTGAGAGGATTCACCAGAGACAGAGTGGGGAGCAGAACAGGCAGATCTACGAAGTACACTGCTGAGGGGAGCAGCGGGTGGGTCAGGAGAGGTCTGCCACGCCATGTGGATCTCCTCCGGGGCAGGCGGGGATCGAACTCATGTGGAAGTGGCTTAAGCTTCTTAGTGCAGTGCTTTAACCCGCTGCGCCACCAGGGAGGGCCCCCACTTAAAACATTTTAATTGTAATATACACGTAAGCTAAAATTTACCATGTTTAAATGTTCAGTTCTGCGTGGTAAATCCCTCACATCATTGTGCCACCATCTCTAGAACATTTTTCATCTTGCAGAACAAACTTTGACTTCTCACCAAACACTACCAAGATGGTGTTCAGGGGCTTTATGGAGATTGGCTGGGTGGCCTATGTCTCCTTTGGGCCTAGAAGGATGAGATAAAATCTCCCAGATTAGGGCTCTCTCTGGTGGCGCAACGGTTAAAGCGCCACATTATGAAGCTCTCCAAAGCCACTGCAGCATGAGCTCCACCACTGCCGGCCAGGGAAGTGACCAACAGGGCAGCGTGGCAGACCTCTCCTGACCTGCCCACTGCTCCCCTCAGCAGTGTACTTCGCCAATCTGCCTGTTCTGCTCCCCACTCTGTCTCTGGTGAATCCTCTCACCACCCCTGCACTTCTGGCCTGTACCCCAGTTCTGCAAGCATAAATAAATCTTTAAAAAAAAATCTCCCAGACTAAAAGCACGTTCACTTCGACTTGCTATAAGGATGTTGGATCCCCAAGTTCATGTCCTCTCAGGTAACACAGTGACACAGAGCAAGTGCAGGCACCTCCCTAGGACTCCTTGGGAACCAACGTACACATGAAACTCTGGCAGAGTGTCTTTGCCTCTGGCTCAAGAATTTCGTGTCCTCTGCCAGCATTCACAAAGTCTGAACAGGTGAGCTGTTAGGATAACTCTCAGACCATGTACACTTCTTTTTTTTTTTTTTTAAAGATTTATATATTTATGCACACAAGAACTGGTGTACAGGCCAGAGATGTGGAAGGTGAGAGGGTCCACCAGAGGCAGAATAGGCAGGTCCACTGAAATACACTGCCGAGGGGAGCAGTGGGCCAGACAGGAGAGGTCTGCTGTGCCGTGTCTGTCACCTTCGTGGCTGGGGATGGAACTCGTGCTGCAGTGGCTGCTGCAGCTTCATAGTGCTGTGTTTTAACCCATTGCACCAGCAGGGAGGGCCCCCACATACAATTCTTAACACACTAATTGCATTCCGTTGGAAAGTAAATTAATTTTCAGAGCTTTTGCTTCCTTATCAGCAAAGTGAGTAATTATAGTGTTTACCTTTGCAATTGATATCATGATTCAATAGACCAAAATGCCTGAAATACTGTGTGTGCTCAAAAATTACTAGTCATTATTTGTCATAATTGTAATCCTCTGTAGCACTGACGGGGCATTGTAGTGACAGATATCATCCGATGAAACCTGTCCACCTGCCCATGACCTTTTAGCTTCACATTGTTTTACTTTTTAATTCTACATCCAAATATAATCTTCTCATGGTTGGCTCCTCTGTTCCATAAGATTTCACGTTAAATATATTCTCCTCTGCCTAAGTAGGTCCTCAATGGTTTATTGTCGGTTGCACGTTCTTGCCCAAGTTCTTTGTAGCACTTGTCAAGATTTTTAACTATTGCATTTGCAGACTCATTTGCTTATTATGCCCACTAGAATATAACTAACAAATTCAAAGCGCTCCGTTTATCTCTTTGTGTATTTTTCCAGTGCTTAGCTCAGGAACTGCTGTGAAGCAGCTGCTTAAAAGACTTTCTGGATGGATGGGCGTGCTGCAGAATGAATAGAGTGATAGTAAGATGAATGGATAGAATGAAATGGAAGGAGGGACGGATGGACGGATGCACCGACAGATGGATGGGAAGCTGGTGTCATATAACTCTTTTCTGGATAAAGTCGGTACTTGGGTGGGAAGAAGTCTATGTGGCAAACAGTCTATGTTGGAAGAAGTCAAGGTTGCAGCCTTGCTTGGCCCGAGAATGTCAGCTCGTGTCCACAAGGTGGCGCCAGCGGCGCCTGCGCGGGTTCCGCTGCTGGAGACGCAGCGCCCGGCCGCAGGCCCCGCCCCTGGCGCGTTTCCGCCGACGGCTGGCTGTTGGGGCGCTTTTCCTGGAGCGGAGGCCGCGGTCTAGTCACCCCACGCCCTCTCCTCTGTGGTCGCCGCAGCCGGTCCGGGCGCCGGAGTGAGTCTCTGCGGGGTCGCGCTGCCCAGGGACCACCGGTGGCCTCCAACGCCAAGGCTGCAGCCCTCCCACCCGACTCTAGGAAAAACGGAGGCCCCGAGGGGGCGCGGGGAGGCCCCGAGGGGGCGACGGGAGCCCCCCGACGTCGGCTCGGGGCGCGCCCGTCTGCCGGGTGTGGCTTGGGCGTTGGCCTGACCGCGGGACGGAGTCTGGCAGCGATGCGGCCGGTGCCGCCGTCCGATCCCCACTTCTCGCCTCGCGCTTGGGGGAGATTTGGCCCCCGCTAGGGCGACAACCGGCTCCCGCGACGCGTGCGCCGGTGTCACGCGGCGAGACGTGCGGGGCGCGACCCGGGCCTGAGCCCGCGTGACTTCCCCCGCCCCGCCCCGCCGCCGACCCCGGGCGTCCAACCACCGAAGGCGGCGCCGTGGCCTTGCCAAGTGTGGGTGGGAACCCGTTTCCCCTGAGTAACTTGGAGAGGAGGCGTTAAAACCGCGGTCACCCCGGTTGTTTGCGGTTTCAGTTCGGGGCCGAAAGGTGGGCCCGGCGGGGCAGCCTCTGCTCCCCTGTCCGCTGCTGCACCCAGGCCCCCCCCCCCCACCTTGTCCGTCCTTTTTCCTGGCCAGGCTCGGCCGCCCTGCGCCCCCTTGGAGACAGGAAAACCTTCTGGATGGCGGCCAGCGCCCCTGTGGCTCCTGCAACCCTCAGCCTGGCCCTCCCTCCTTGGTTCCTGCAAAGTCCAGCATCGGCCAGCGCCCCCTTGGCTCCTGCAGACTGACCCTGATGGGGCCGAGCTCCCCGCTGCGCCTGCGGTGTGCAGGGGCCCATGTCAGGGGCCGAGGCCCCCCTGTGGGTAAGTGCCGCTGCCCCTGCTCCTTGCTTACCTGCCCAGGGCACCTGCCAGCGGGGGTCCTGGAGCGCAGTGGGTTCTGAGAACCACAGGCCTGGCAAGGCCCTGTGCAGAGGCCTTGTGCAGCAGAGGGACCTTTGGGGAGGGCCTGACTCAGCCCATTTAAGCCAGGGCGCAGTGGGCGCAGTGGGCGCAGTGGGTGAGTGGCTTCCTTGCCCTGTGCCTCAAGCCGGGGCTGGAAGAGCCTGGGAGGATGGGCCTGGTGTGTGGTACTTGTTTCTGAGCCCAGGCGCCTGGCCTGGGTTAGGCTCTCAGGTGGTCCCTGTGGGTTGAAAGTACAGGGGAGGCATCTTTAGCAGAAGCTGGTCTTCCTGTGGGCAGCCATTGGGGCGGGGTTCTTTATCAGAAGTGATATGACTCCGCCCTTGGGAGGCTGGGCAGTCACCAGGGCTGCTACCTACTGTCAGCCTCATTTCCAGTTCACTTTCAGTGCCTTTGTACCTAGAGATGAGCGTGGTTGTGGTCTGCTGGTGCCCTGGCATGGGTGGTGCAAGGAAGGAGTTGCTGTCGCGTGTGTTTCCCGGGATGGGGGCACCATGGGAGTCCATTCCTGTCCCTTCTAAGTCCTTGTAGCTCTCCCGCACGTCCTCCTGCCCGCCATCCTTACATGCGCCCTATCGCTGGGGTCTGGCTCAGTGCTGGTTTCAGTGAGGCTTTAAGATAAAGGACAGCCGCCCTGGAGGCACAGGGCTAAGCCACAGCACTAACAAGCTATCACCAGGACTGCCTAAGTTCGATCCCCATCAGGGAGCTGACCCATGTGGCACAGCAGACCTCTCCTGACCCACCTGCTGCACCCCTCAGCAGTGTATTTCAGTAAATCTCCCCACTCTGTCTCTGGTGAATCCTCTCACTGCCCCTGCATCTCTTTCTTCTACCCCAGTTCAGTAAGCATAAATAAATAAATCTAAAAAAAAAAAACAAAACAAACAAACAAAGGAGGGTGAAACACAGGCTGCAGCTCCAGAAGCCACTGACTGTTTGTGGAGCAAGAGCTTCCCTCCAGAAAGTCATTTCTACCACCCAGGTCCTTAGTCACTCAGGGTTCTTGATGTGATGTAATCCAGGGAGTGGCTTGAGATGCGATGAACGCACTAGTCATACTTGATGGGAGTTGCTGGATTTCTTGTGTTTTTGCCTCAGTCTGAGTGCTGTGGTCTTGTCCTTCCTTAGGCTCAGCACCTGGCCAGTCTCGGATGTTTAGCAGCTGTGGAGAGAAGAGGAAGAGAGACTCATCTTCACAGGTGGTTGGGGCGTCCCGTCTTGGAGGGTCAGGGGAGATGACCCCTATGCAGCGGCCAGGGAAAGCTGAGGGTGTGCCCTTGCTCGCTTCTCTTGAATTGCTCCTCCTGTGGGCCAGAGCTTGTCTCTGCGGCCTTGCCTGGTCCGCAGGGAGGATTTTCCTTGTCCCTGTGGTTATGGTGGCAGAACCAGAGCAGTGACAAGCGAGCCAGGGCGGGTTTAAACAGAAGCCCAGACTTCACCTTCACAGGTGACCCAGCGGGCATGCTCCTGGCTGCAGCCCTCTCGCCATGCAGCTGCGGCCTGCAGTCCTGCTCACCCCCAGACCTGGCCTGGATTTCACATCCTTTCAAGACCAGGTTCCAGAAACAGCAGTTTCCTCAGATTTTACACAGAAGGAGATCTGGAAGTCCTCACATAACCTTTGTCCTGTGTTGAGTTGTGAATGTGTCCTTGTGAGACACGGTGTGCCTGCGAGTTCTTACGGCCTCCACTTGTGCAGTCGCCCCCTGCCAAGCCGGCCACTCTGATTTCACGTGCTTGTTACCAGGCCAGGTGGCCAGGTGACAGGGCTGCTTGTGTATGGCAGAGGACAGCTCAGTGCAGAGCGCCCTGCAGAGCTGTCGGGGCCATGGTGCTCCCGAGGTGAGGTGTGTGCTCCGCGGATCTGTGACTTTGCCCCACTGGGTATGATGCGGTCTGGGGAGTAGGTACAGGTGAGGTGAGGTGGCCCCAGTTTTACCCTCTCTAGCACCTGTGCATCTGGCTCCTCTTTCTGTGCCTGCTTCTGAGGGCCGCCGGGGAGCACTGCTGCAGATCACTAAGTTGGCAGGATGACTCAAACAGAGCAGGAAGCGTGTTGACATGGGCTGTACCTGAGTTTTAGTCACTTATCTGCCCCCTCTTAATTTTGGGGTCCCCTCATAGTCCCAATTTCTGCCTCCAGAAAGCCTATTCAAATGACACCATTTTTCTTAGGGCCCCACGGTTTGTCTCTTAGAACCTAAGAACTCTTGTCACACTTCTTTCCACGATCTCTTCCCTTTGCCTCTCCTGTTTGGATTGAAGGGATTTTTGTAGATTAGGAGCTGGGTTTTTGCGTCAGGCCTCTGCCGTCCCCTTCTTTCTCAGCCAGCCTTCTGGCCTCTTCCACCCACCCCTGCATTCGTGAGTGACCATGGACTGCCTGTGTCCTGCTCATTGGTGGTGCAGGCAGAGGAAACGTGGAAAGGATGGCCCATGTTTGGAGGGCTCACGGCCTGCCTTCCAGCCCTGGGGTCTGTCCCACACTCCTGCTGCTCCAGGTGGCTGTCACGTGCTCCCTACCCCTGCTGGTGGGAAGCACGCTGTGTGTTGCCTCAGTCCCTGGCATAGCCACTGCCACGGAGCCTCCCGGGCCCCCTCCCAAATACTGCCCGTCACAGACTTCCGCCTGCGCTTATTCTCCGATCTGCTACGCCAGCCTCGTGGCCTACCCTGTCTTAGGCTGTCCACTGTCTCCCTCTTCTGAGTTAACGACTGTCCTTTTCAACTAAGCTGCTGTGTATCTCAGGAAATAACAGCCACCGTTTGGGGTGGGCTTACCTTCTTGTGACTCCTGTGCTGAGCCCTTCCCGAGGCTCCCAGGCCCGGCCAAGAGCAGAGACGGTCGGTGTTCACGCACGGCCTCCTGTTGTTGCAGCTGAGGCGCCGCGGCAGCTGTCGAGTCAGGAACCCTGGACCCTGCTGTCCTAAAGGTAAGGCTTCTGGTCCGTTCTCTAGAGTGTGGGTTCCTGGCGTCTGGTACAGAGAGTGTTGCCAGGGTCTTTGGGTGCAGATGGAGGGGAGCTGAGAGGTGAGATAGATGTCCTTGAGGCCCCAGATCTGCTCCTGGACACCGTGGTCATCTCTGACCTGCCACATGCCTGCAGCAGTGGCCTCGGGGAAGGTCTCCCAGCATCCCACTGGGTAATGAGGAAGCTCTGGGGGGATCTGCTATCCCCACCCCCACCTGGAGCTTCAGCAGAAGCGTGTTGTAAAGGGGAAACCTGCCCCTGGCTTTGAATCCCATTCTGCCACTGTCTTAGCCCTTGATCCATCCAGAACCTTACTGTTTTTCATTCGGAAAGCAAAGCTATGCTAGGGCTGACCTGTGGGCTAAGACCACATGCTGCCTGTCATTTCCAACCAAGATATGTTCTTGGTGGTTTCCCACAAAGTGACTACTCTTCGATTCCCCTCGACAGGGAGGTCTAGTGGGGCTCTCCTGGGAATGAGTGGCCACTCCTGAGGGCCTGTGCTCAGCCGGGCTGTTTTCACCAGACTCGACATCTGCCATGGGCCGCTGGCACCTGCTTCTGTCCCTGGACCTCCCTGTGCCCTCGCGCGCACCTGCATTGGAAAGTGATCACGGGCTGCCTGTGCTCTGGTCGTTGATAATGCAGGGAGAGGAATTGCTGAAAGCAGTTTCCCGTATTTGGAGGGTCCTCCTGTCCCTTTCAAATGCTGGCGCCTTCACACACTCCTGCTTCTCTGCAGCTGGGATCTTCTGTCTCAGGCACCGTGAGCAGCAGTGGGAGAGTCAGTGACAGGAGACTGTTCCCGCTGGCCTTGCTCACTGCCTGTGGCCAGAGAGATCAGGCTCAGTCTGTGTCAAGAGTTCACACTCGGGGAGTGTGAGGAGCCAGGGTGTAGGAACAAGTGCGTGTTGGTGCTGCATAGCGATTGCCATGGGGCTCTCAAAGGGAAGTGGCTTTTTGGAAGTGGTGGCCCTGGCCCCTTGGCATGTGCCAAGGTGAGGAAGGCTTGAAGGCAGGGTGAGCACAGTGCCAGGCAGGTAGTGACAGTGGCGGGCTGGCTGCTGAGGAGGTCCTCATTCCCAGCCAGGTTTCGCCGGGCCTCCGTGGGAGGGCTGAGACAGCTGTCTCTGTCTACCTGTGACTGTCTACTCTCGCCTGGAAAGGTCTGTTTTAGACTTCAGTGACAGTTTTAGTTTGACTCTTTTCCGGGAGTACTGAAATGCCTTTTAGAGCCACGTCTGGTGTGGAAAAACAAAGCTGGCCACTCATCCCTACTTACATGGGAGGCATTCGCACCAAAGTCAGCCCGAAGAAAGGTGAGGTCATCTTAGAGACCAAACATGGTTGTGACCGCCTTGTCTCTGGTTCTTCATCACCCCAGGGATGCCGCCTTGGATGTGGAGACTGCGGAGGAGGCCGTGCAGGGCTGGGAGGGAGCACTGGCCCCCCCAGGGTGGCGACCTGAGTCTCAGCTTCCCAAAGGCCTCAGCTGGGTGAGTGAACGCTAGGAACTATGTCAGCCTGCCTGGGCCAGCAATACCGTGCTGCGGACTTCAGTTAACTTTCTCCTTGTGTTCTTTGGGCTGATGTTGCCGCACCAGGCATTACCAGCCTTTTTACCCTGTGGCAGCAGCCTTGTGGGTGGGTTGGGCTGGGGCTCTGGAAACTTGGAGAGCTGTTGGCTGGCTCTGCCCGCCACAGCAGGGCCACGGAGCTCCATGGACCCAGTCACCGAGGCCTCCAGGCCCCTCTGCCTACTCCTGGAGTTTTCTGTACTGTGTATCACTGTCCTCCCAGCCACCCAATAAATCTTGAACATTCCCTGCTCTTGTGTCTGTTTTGTTTTGTTTCCCATTTTCCTAGGAATACCTCCACGTGCCAGCAGGTCTAGGTGTGTAGAACAAGGTTGCCAGGGGCAGGTCTTCCAGCGTCACTCGGGCCTGTCACTTAGCACACTTAGGCGTCTGACCAGGAGAAGGAAGTGGGATGTAGACCAGGGTCAAGCAATTCTGTGTACTTCTGGGGAGCTCAGATTGTGGACTAGGAACATTTGGGCAGGACTTTAGGGAAAAAAGTGCTGATGAAGAAAAAGGATGCTGGTGGAGGTGGACTTAGGGGTGAAGGCTTTCAGGAAGGCAGGGGAATTCAAGGAGGTGTGGAGCAGTGGTGGGAGTGGGGTGCCTTTGGAAGGACCATGGGATGTGGTGGGCAGATGCCAAGTGTTGGGATTTCTGTTGTTGGAACCCCAGGTAGACTTGGTCTCTGGGGTTTAAGTTCAGTATAGATCACAGCGTGTTAAGCATGCATTTGCATGATCCCCTTGCTCCCCCCACCCCAAACCTGTCACTCTCTCCTGTTTTGGGTTGTCGCCTCACCTGGAGCTGAGGGAGAAACTCAGGCCCCCTTGTCTGGACAGCCTTTGCCCTCAGGCAACATTCTTAAGGGTTGAAGAATCTACCCAGCACCCTTTCCAGCTTCTCACCTGCTTTCTGCCTTGCCCCTCCCTGTAATTCCTACCCTGAGGCTAACTGACACCCTTTTTGCTCTCCCAAAGACTCTCCGCCTACTCCTACCCTCTGCACAGGTCACTGGACATTTGTAGAGCTCTTTAACACTGCCCTCTCATTTCTGAGCAACTTCCCTGGGGCTGTAGGTAGTGATTACACCCCATCCTCCTTCCCCTTTCTGTTTTCTTGGCATCCTGCCCCCATCCTCTAGCCTGAGGGTCCCTGATCCCTGGTTGGTCTCTGTGATATAGAAGGGGCAGCAATGGAGTGCTGGGGGAGAGGGAAGAGAGGAGATGGCCGTGGCTGGGGCACGGGAGCTGTCCACAGAGGCATGGTCTGTGTCGCCAAGGCTTCTTCACCCAAGGTCATCAGAATTCCCCTAATAAGCCAGCTGTGTCCATTTATGGAGACATCACTTACTCCTGGTCATTTCCGTGGCAACCCAATTGCTGACTGAGCGTGAAAGGTCAGTGAACTAACGTGCTGTTGCAGCACCTGGCACTAAAGGATGTAGCTCTTCTCGATCATTAACTTGCTCACTTTCAAACTGTAAATGGGTCTCACCCCTTGTCCTCTGCCACCTTATCCCACCTCACCCTCAGCCTCCACATAGGTCTCTAGTCTTCAGGGCGGACCTGCAGGGCCCTCCTCACTGCCCATAGCCTGCCTGGCCACCCTCATCTCACCCATCACTCCTCAAAAGCACGGAAGGCGTCAGCCACATGACTGCTCAAGGTTCCCGCCAGACTTTCCTTTTCCTGGCCTTTGTCCTTGGAATGCATCCTCCCCTTAGACGCGTGTCTGACTCAGCTTGTGTCACTTCCGTCAGGAAGCCTTCCTTGACTAAACTCCCACCCAGACTGCATGCCCGGCCCCTCCTTTCATTTAGATCAAGTGTCAACTCTGTGCAGGCACATCCTGCACAGGTAAACAAAAGATGGCAAAGGCAAATCCCTGCCTCTGGTATGTGCCTTATAGAGGACAGAGACATACTGTAAACAGAGTACCGCAATGTATAGTATACTAAAAGTGGGTCAAGGAGAACTTATTGAAACAGGGCAAGCAGGGAGAATGGCATTTAAAACTGAGCAGACAGAACACCTTACTGGGAGGTGTGACGAGTAAAGTGAGTGACTCACACCTCTGGGTGTTCACCACAACCTGTGCAACCTCCATTACAGCATGGACGAAGGGTGGTAGGAAGCTCTCCAGGAGACCAGAACAAGTGCAGGGGTGGGGGTTGGCGGGCGGGTGGCCTAGTCAGGGAACCTGTGCAGGTTCACTGCTAGGCTGTACCTGGTTTTGAATGCATCTCACGTGCTAAGAGTGGCAGCTGAATCAAGTCAGGATCAGCTAGTCAGCACCAAGCTGTATGCATCTTGGGGCAGGCCCTACACCTGTCAGCCCTGCCACCCCACAACCCCCCAGCCATGGCTCAGTGAACTGGAGAAGCACAGTCAGTCCAGGGTAGCCACTGATAGGGCAATCAGAAACTAAGCTATGCAGTGCCTCTCAGGGACTGCTCAGTATGTCAAGAGCCCAGGAAACTGGTTGCAGGAACAGCGACAGGAAGAGACTGAAATCGAGTCCCCTTAACTTCAGAGGTCAAAGGCGCAGAGTCTTGAGCTCCTACTGTAGGAGAGAGAACCTTTCTAGGACTCCTCTGGGGAGGAGGGTATACCGATTTCCAAGCTACCTTCATGCTCTACAAGGCCTGGCTGTGAACAGCATTCAGACTGGTCACGAGGTCTGGGGTTTCAGTTTTCCCTGGATTTTATAAGCATAACCATATGACCAAAACTTCTATCTTCCTTTTTCTTTTATGAGACTTCCACTCACCGCCACCTTGTTATTACTGGAGGAGGCTAAGGAGTCTCTGCTCATAATAGCCTTACCAGCATGGAGGCTGACACATGTGAGGAACCCCATCAGCATCTGGGAATAACAGATGAGGCCAGCGGTAACCTTGATAGCACCAGGAATAGCTCAGCGATGTCCCTGGGCCCCATGACAACTAGGGCCTGTCACCAGGCCACCCAACTCCACCTGCTCTGAAAAGCAGCCTAGTAAAATCATGAGTGGCTTATTGAGTTTTGATCTTGCTCCTTAATTGTGCTGGGGCCTGGAGCACTTTCTTGTACCTACTTGAATCTCAGTTCCTAGCTCTGTGACTTGGCCATCAGAAAAGCATGGCCACATGACCACAAACAGTAAGGATTAAATCAAATGATGCACATTTAATGTGTAACACAGTACCTGCCTCACCCGCATGCTTGATAAATCTCTGCTATTTTTATTTGATGAGCATGTCTGACTTGTTGATAATTAAAATGAAGAACAAATATAAATGGCATTATGATAAAGATTCATCTGTTGACATGACACCACGAAGATTCTTGTGTCTGATTTGCAGAATCCCAGTGGGGCTGGTGTTAATCATCAAGTCACTGATGGAGCTTTTATTAAATACCATGCACAGTACTAAATCCAGATATATAATTACCTTACTCTATAACGACCAGTGAGGTAAATTTAATTGTCCTCCATTTTACAAATGAGGAAACTAAGGAGGAGACCTGTCTCTCTCCTCATGAGTGGCTTAGCTGGCTTTCCACTGCCTGGTATATCAAGTAGTGAGAAATGTGGCAGATTGATTTCATAAATAGCATGAACACACCAGGCTGTCAGATCTGTGTCTGTAAGGGGGAAACTGGAAATTAGGAAATTTTACTATTCGCTCCATCTGCTTCAAATTATTGTTTGTTATCCAATCTTTTTACAGTACTCCCCCATCTAAGTCAACAATCTTGAGACTTGAGCTGTGAACTTGAAATGTACAGAGACAATAGGCACATTTCAGTCAACTCCAGAATACCATGTGGTCCTCTCATTACTGTGCAGTCTGAGCAGGAGTCACCAGTCTTCCAAACTGGAGGAAACCTCCATATTATTGCTGTGGCCCGAGAATCAGGATTAGGGTCAAGAACAGGACCCTAACAGGATTAGGGTCCTATCAGGAAATCGATACCCACGACCAGAGGCTCTGGTAAAGCAGCTAGTGTGCTGGGGTTTCATACAGAATCAAGCCAGGAGATTGGAGATCTGGAAAAAACAATATCAGGTTCTGTGCTTATTACACTGGGGATACTGGGTTTATACTAGGGATGAATAAGGAATTTCTTACCCTGGGGGGGGCGGGGTTCATACAAGTATACAGATAACAAGTTCTGTTCATTCACATCTAGGTATGCAGAGAACAGTCACTATGTGCTGGGCCTTACTCTAAGCTGGATAAACAGCCCTGAACAAAACAAGGGGTCTCAGGGAGCTTGTAGTATGGGGCAGCACTGTCCCAGGAAACAGTACAACCCCATATGGAATTACAACCTAGCATAATAAAAATATGCACTATAGATGTATATATTACAAATATATGTATCTTGGAAAACTTATATAATCCAATAAGGAGTCCAGCAGAGTTTAAGCTGGGTCCCCCCAAGTCAGCAAATACTAGGCACTGGAATTCCACCAGGCCTCTCTCTGTGGACTTCTTGCTTGAGTTTGTTTTTGTATTTCTTAAGGGACCTATGCCAGGCTTATACCAGGGCACATCTGTTCCCATTTTCCACTGAGGGGAGGCAGTACTGCTACACATCACACAGGTTGTGTCCCTGTACAACTCACAGGGGCATTATTCACATCAGAGAAAACAGAGATGCGAAAGAGGTTGGGTACTGTGTGCTTTGCTTTCTACCCGCTTGCTTAGAAAGACAAGAAGTAAGTGGTTGGACTAGATATTGAGTGAGGCTCTTACAATAGTTTTTAATACTGAATTTAATTGAAATGGATCGCTTCGATCCAGTGTCCTGGATATAGCCTCTTTTCTGTCCTGGAACAGTTTTACTCTGTGTCTCTTATCTCTTCTAGCTACTTTCCGAAGGGTTGAAAAAGAGCTCTTGAGAAAGCCCTTTTCTTTTGCAGTTAGTTCCCTTGTCACTCCTTCCTCCACGGTCTCTTCTAACTGAAGGGGAAGAGCCAGCATTTTCTTTGCTCCCTTCTGCTCTTTTCAGATAACAATGCCTACAGCACCATCAATAATATCCAGATCCCTTCTTTATATATGAAGGACTGTCTCAAGGCCAAGTCCTCCCTCAACCTCTCAGCCTAAATTTCCTCCTTTACACTCCAAGGCACGTGAGCTGTACATCTCTAGTATACATCTACATTATCCTCTTCATAGAAGCCAAAACCAAATGACTGAAGTGGTACTGTTTATAAAACGCGTGTTGCATTACAGATGCTCAAACTGGTATCTC